ATCACGTGAAATGCACAATCACTTTCAACCAAATGAGTCTGTGAGAATGTGCAAGCAAATGTGTCAAACAGAAGTGTTTAATATATTACAAGCTTTTGTGTCAAGTAACAGACATATTATCAGTTTGCATATTACAATTGGACTGTTATACAGCCTGAAATTATGCAAGTAAGAATTTAATCTTTATGCTTTTTTTGTAATGAAATCTTAATTAAGCAAGTATAAGGCCAATTTTTCTGATTTTTTTCTTAGTATCTGAAATGCAAATTTAAGACTCGCAAATTTATAATAGTGATTGTTTCCCAGATATATGCTTTAACAATATGGCTTGTATACATACCATAACATCCCGGTAGGCTGGGAATGTCCCATTTTTCGACAATTTTATGCGATGATAATGATAAATATGACTTCAATAATCAAAAATAAAAAGTGAAAGAAAGAAGCCCCCCCACCCTCCATAAAGCTTATTCTGATTATTTACATTTTCTGATCAGGTGATCAATGATCAAGACTACAAACTATAACAACGATTTTGTACATGTTTTGCTTTTAATGTAGTTATTGTATAGGCATAAATTCTTTTAATCATTTATTATGTACTGTTATTTCTTTTTATGTAGTTTGATGTATATAATGTTTATAAAAGTTTATTATGTTTATAAAAATTTATTTACAAGCATATTGTTTAACAAATACCCCTTAAGTGTAAGAATTAGTGATACCCCTTTTATGTTTCTTTTCATTGTAATTCTAAATTGATAAAAGGTTGTTAACACCTTATAGGTAATTAAATTTGTTGTCCTGTAACATGTTGGTTCATTGCTGTCTGGATTAAGTTGCTATGGTCATCATGGAAACCAAGCTTAACAACCAAAGCATATATAAGGGTAACCCTAGGGTTCATTTTTATATATGCTTTGCTTGAAAATAAATTATATTGTGGAACCAACTTTCGTTACAGGTAAGAAATTAATTTATTTTCATATTTATAATTTTTGTTATTTACTAAGATTACAAATATGTTTGTACAATATTTTCTATCTTAACAAAGATTCGCTATAATGTTTTCAATATTAATAATATTTTCAATATTAAAATATTTCTCTACAATGTTCTATAATGTTTCATGTATAAATATTTTTGTCTTAATGTTTTAACAGAAAATCTCTTAAATAATTTTGATTTTATAGTTACAAAATTTATATAGATATTCCGTTCTATGTCCTCTCATTTGTAAGACATAAGCGAGTATAATTCCCAATATTAAATCTTTCTTATTATATTATTGTGATATTATATTACTGTGATGATTGTAAAAATAGATATACACTTTTCTTTCCTTATAATTACAGGACTTATCCTGTTATCTGCACTTTTAACATATGGTCACCAACTGTAGATGGCATAAAATACTTATCATAAGTTCTGCTTTGACAGTCATTTGCTTGTTTGAATTAATTAAAATATCATTAAAGTATAGGCAACATTATTGCCAGTTAATTATGATTATCAATTTATTAAAAATAAATAAACCAGTCAAGGGTTATCTCCCATATGACATCACACACTGCTTGTATGTATTCAAAGTTATATAAATCACTTTTAAATATTTGAAACTTCCCAACTTCATGGAGGCCACCTATGAACTATATTATAATTGTTGCATATGTTGTATTATAATGATATATCAATTGTGTTATTTCATGTTTAGCTCATGTGTTATTTTTTCATTTCCACATTTGTCATATGTCATTTCTGAAATTTGAAAAAAAATTCTAGATAACAATGCAGGAGCATTGTTTTACTTAACAATTCATGTTTTCTTCATGTTTTCATATAACCATTTGTCAAAGTTCATCACATTGTGTAACTTTTTGTAACACATATAAAACTTATATTTTTGCATCCCTTACAATGCAGGAGCATTGTTTTATTCGGCAGGGGGATGTTATAACAACGATTTTGTACATGTTTTGCTTTTAATGTAGTTATTGTATAGGCATAAATTCTTTTAATCATTTATTATGTACTGTTATTTCTTTTTATGTAGTTTGATGTATATAATGTTTATAAAAGTTTATTATGTTTATAAAAATTTATTTACAAGCATATTGTTTAACAAATACCCCTTAAGTGTAAGAATTAGTGATACCCCTTTTATGTTTCTTTTCATTGTAATTCTAAATTGATAAAAGGTTGTTAACACCTTATAGGTAATTAAAATTTGTTGTCCTGTAACATGTTGGTTCATTGCTGTCTGGATTAAGTTGCTATGGTCATCATGGAAACCAAGCTTAACAACCAAAGCATATATAAGGGTAACCCTAGGGTTCATTTTTATATATGCTTTGCTTGAAAATAAATTATATTGTGGAACCAACTTTCGTTACAGGTAAGAAATTAATTTTTTCATATTTATAATTTTGTTATTTACTAAGATTACAAATATGTTTGTACAATATTTTCTATCTTAACAAAGATTCGCGATATAATGTTTTCAATATTAATAATATTTTCAATATTAAAATATTTCTCTACAATGTTCTATAATGTTTCATGTATAAATATTTTTGTCTTAATGTTTTAACAGAAAATCTCTTAAATAATTTTGATTTTATAGTTACAAAATTTATATAGATATTCCGTTCTATGTCCTCTCATTTGTAAGACATAAGCGAGTATAATTCCCAATATTAAATCTTTCTTATTATATTATTGTGATATTATATTACTGTGATGATTGTAAAAATAGATATATGCTTTGCTTGAAAATAAATTATATTGTGGAACCAACTTTCGTTACAGCGTTTTTACTAAGAAATTTACTGGAAGAAAATAAACAAGAGCAAACCAGAATCTTGAGTTTACAATAAGATAAGGTTCCAATAAAGACAGTGTCACAAAAAGTAAAAGGTTCCCCTCCCACGTCAAAACAAATCAGACGAGAATAACCCCTGTTACAAAACTTACCAATGCAACGTTTCATATGTTGCTGTTCCTTATATTTAGAATCAGAATCTTTTGAGGAGTAATCAGGTGATTCTGTTGCTACTTGGCAGAATCAGTCAGAAGCTATTTCATCATAACTGGCATCCTACTCTTCATCATAATTCTCATCACTCGACTCTTCAGCATCTAAATAGAAATTGAATCATTTAAAATGACAGTCAGTACTTGAAAACATGCAAATGATCCCAAATATCTCTTTTACTTATTTTAATTTCATTGCTAATAAAAAATTTAGAAACTATTACAGACAGAAAAACAACTTAATACCTACAAAATCCATTGCATTTATTATTTCATGAAGATTTTAAAATAAACAAATTATCTATCAACATTTTATAACTGATAAAGTAATAAGACCAATCTAAAGAACCTCCCTCTTAATTATTAAAAGCCGGATTCCCCTGTAATCCTCTTGAAATATACTTCATTAACTTATGGTCCATTAGCCATGGTATAATGCTAGTTCCCTAATGAATCACTTCATATCAATGTAACCCATTAATCATTATCCTGCAGCTTAAATAAGTTTGCAAACTTACATGATTAATTTCAACCCCAGAAAAAACAATCTTCTTGTTCGGTCCGGAATTTTCAATATTTGTACCCTGTATCATCTCCACTCCTGAAAATATTTTGTAGCACTCTTCAAAATTCAAAATAAAGTAGATTTCCAAATCTTCTTTTTGACATGTTCTTTGTTTACTTTAGTTCATTGTAATGTACCTACAGTTTACCGTTGCACAATTCCTGACGAAAGTCATTAAATATTTCATACTGATTCCTTTAATTTCTTAACATTTGAAGAACTCAACAAAAGCTTTAGACACAAGACTAAGGCAGTCTTTTGTCACTGAAGAATTAAGTATTCCTCAGCTTAATAACTTGACAAAAAATGACTTTAATTAAAGACAAGTATCATGACCAACTGTCCGGAAGAAAATTCTAAAATACAGACACTTCTGAGAAAGCTTTTAATTTTAGAAAAATAAAATAGTATAAACGTCACTTCATTACTTCTTCATACCAAAATGGGAACTCAAGTGAAAATTTATATCAAGTCTATAAAGAAAACAGTATTCTCTGCCTAATCACTGTGAATTAACAGTATGCTAATATATGTATGATGCAGGTGTTTTCTTGCCATTAAAAATAAATATTCCACTTGAAAACGAATTGAGGACAGTACATACTAAATCACCTGCAACTGAGAGCAGTGTGTAATAAATCACAAGCAAGTGAGAACTCTTTAAATACATTAGAATAACTATTTTTTGTGTAAGAACAATTTTCACATATCATGTCGATGTCAGACCACAGTATGATGTAGCCAAAGAAAATAAACATTAAGATTCTCAATAGAATTTTGGATAAGAACCAAGCGGGTCAGGGCACTTTTTATTTTTCTTTTATTATTGAAATAAGATGGACTTTATTTACATTGACACTTCATTGGTATCAGCTATGTTGCTACTATTTATGTCATTATTTATGTCATCATTTATATCAGCATATTCTCCAATATCTACAATACAAGCAAACAAAAACATGCTATAAGAAATATTCAGGCAACAATTACTATAATCATTAGGCTATAATGTCATATATCCTATCTCATTTCAAAATGTATCAATAGCTCTCTCAAAAAGTGACCAGTTATCAATAATAGCAAACCAGTTTCCAAATGATGAACAAAACACAAAGTCTATAAAGAAAACAGTATTCTCTGCCTAATCGCTGTGAATTAACAGTATGCTAATACATGTATGATGCAGGTGTTAAAAATATTTTTGCTATTAAAAAAAAAATGGTCCACTTGAAAACCAATTGAGGACAGTACATACTAAATCACCTGCAACTGAGAGCAGTGTGTAATAAATCACAAGCAAGTGAGAACTCTTTAAATATATTAGAATAATTATTTTTTGTGTAAGAACAATTTTCACAAATCTTGTGCAATGTCAGATCACAGTATGATGTAGCCAAAGAAAATAAACATTAAGATTCTCAATGGAATTTTGGATAAGATCCCAGCGGGTCAGGGCACTTTTTATTTTTCTTTTATTATTGAAATAAGATGGACTTTATTTACATTGAAAATAAAAAAAAATGATTGGTTTTGTTTAATGCATCATGTTCGCTGAAGGGAAAATGTATCTATCAGAGAGGAATCTAACTGAGTGGGGCGGACGGGGATGAGAATCAGACATATTTTTTTCTATGGCCTAAGTACTGTGTGCACGATCATAATGCATAATACAATAACTATTATTATAAATATTCAGCTGTTAAATAAACTCTTGCATTTATATTAATTGTGAAACTAAAAATCTAGTAGTTTTCGACTAGTTTAAATATTGGGCCCTGTAAGAAAACAGAATATATGCTAATAAGACAAATACCATCATATTCATTGATAGCTTCATGGGTTTTAACCTCATCAAGTTTGTTGGTAGACACTTCATTGGTATCAGCTATGTTGCTACTATTTATGGCATTATTTATGTCATCATTTATATCATCATATTCTCCAATATCTACAATACAAGCAAACAAAAACATGCTATAAGAAATATTCAGGCAACAATTACTATAATAATTAGGCTATAATGTCATATATCCTATCTCATTTCAAAATGTATCAATAGCTCTCTCAAAAAGTGACCAGTTATCAATAATAGCAAACCAGTTTTCGAAATGATGACCAAAACACAAAGTCTATAAAGAAAACAGTATTCTCTGCCTAATCGCTGTGAATTAACAGTATGCTAATACATGTATGATGCAGGTGTTAAAAATATTTTTGCTATTAAAAAAAAAAATGTTCCACTTGAAAACCAATTGAGGACAGTACGCACTAAATCACCTGCAACTGAGAGCAGTGTGTAATAAATCACAAGTAAGTGAGAACTCTTTAAAAACATTGGAATAATTATTTTTTGTGTAAGAACAATTTTCACATATCTTGTGCAATGTCAGACCACAGTATGATGTAGCCAAAGAAAATAAACGTTTAGATTCTCAATGGAATTTTGGATAAGATCCCAGCGGGTCAGGGCACTTTTATTTTTCTTTTATTATTGAAATAAGATGGACTTTATATACATTGAAAATAAACAAGAGCTGTCCGTAAGACAGCGCGCTCGACTTTTTTATTGCTTGCCAATAAAAAAAGTTTTTGCAGTAAAAGGCAATACAAGAATCTCTGTATTTTTAAAGTGAACTAGTTGTTTGATACCCTTGAATATTACAGCAATGTTTATATGACATAATTTATGGTAAAGTGAACAAGTGGATAGGAATGAATTTTTTTAGATTTTTTAAGTTTTTTAGTGCTTGCCTATAATACAAAACATTGACAGTTAAGGGCCATAATTCAAATAAAATCTTTGACAGAATTACCTTCTCCTGGACATGTTTGGGAATCATGATTGTAAACAAGTATTCCAACTTTCAAATTAATATCTCAAACAGTTCAGTCAAAAAGTGGACTGGTACTAAAAACTTAACCAAGATTCTAAGTCGATAAAAGGCCTTAATTTTTAAAACAAATCCTTGACAGAGTTACCTTCTCTTGCGTACAGATGGGGTAATGATGTGAAATAGCATTAAAAGTTTCAAAGCAATATCTCAAAGGGTTAAGGCAATAAGTGGATTTTACCCATATTCAATGTATTTTCTAAGTCAAAAAGGGGCATAATTCTGTCAAAAACCTTGACAGAGTTATGTCCTCTTGTCTGTTGATGAAGGTCGTGATGGTAAACAAGTATGGTCAGTTTCAAAGCAATACCTCCAATGGTTTTGAAATAAAGTGAGGTGGTACAAAAAACTTAACCAAGCTCAATACACTTTCTAAGTCAAAAAAGGGCCATAATTCTGTCAAAAACCTTGACAGAGTTATGTACTCTTGTCTGTAGATGGAGGTTATGATGGTGAACAAGTATGGTAAGTTTCAAAGCCATACTTGTAATACTTCTGAAATAAAGTGGGGTGGTACGAAAAACTTAACCAAGGTGTGACGCCAACGCCGACGCGGACGCCGACGCCGGGGCGAGTAGGACAGCTCTCCATATACTTCGTAAAGTCGAGCTAAAAAAATGATTGGTTTTGTTTATACATCATGTTCGCTGAAGGGAAAATGTATCTATCAGAGAGGAATCTTACTGAGTGGGGCGGACGGGGATGAGAATCAGACATATTTTTTTTCTATGGCCTAAGTACTGTGAGCACAATCATAATACATAATACAATAACTATTATTATAAATATTCAGCTGTTAAATAAACTCTTGCATTTATATTAATTGTGAAACTAAAAGTCTAGTAGTTTTTCACTAGTTTAAATATTGGGCCCTGTAAGAAAACAAAATATATGCTAATAAGACAAATACCGTCATATTCATTGATAGCTTCATGGGTTTTAACTTCATCAAGTTTGTTGGTAGACACTTCATTGGTATCAGCTATGTTGCTACTATTTATGTCATTATTTATGTCATCATTTATATCAGCATATTCTCCAATATCTACAATATAAGCAAACAAAAACATGCTATAAGAAATATTCAGGCAACAATTACTATAATTGGGCTTTAATGTCATATATCCTATCTCATTTCAAAATGTATCAATAGCTCGCTCAAAAAATGACCAGTTATCAATAATAGCAAACCAGTTTCCAAATGATGAAAAAAACACAAAGTCTATAAAGAAAACAGTATTCTCTGCCTAATCGCTGTGAATTAACAGTATGCTAATACATGTATGATGCAGGTGTAAAAAATATTTTTTGCTATTAAAAAAAAAATGTTCCACTTGAAAACCAATTGAGGACAGTACATACTAAATCACCTGCAACTGAGAGCAGTGTGTAATAAATCACAAGCAAGTGAGAACTCTTTAAATATATTAGAATAATTATTTTTTGTGTAAGAACAATTTTCACATATCTTGTGCAATGTCAGACCACAGTATGATGTAGCCAAAGAAAATAAACATTTAGATTCTCAATGGAATTTTGGATAAGATCCCAGCGGGTCAGGGCACTTTTACTTTTCTTTTATTATTGAAATAAGATGGACTTTATATACATTGAAAATAAAAAAAATGATTGGTTTTGTTTATGCATCATGTTCGCTGAAGGGAAAATGTATCTATCAGAGAGGAATCTAACTGAGTGGGGCGGACGGGGATGAGAATCAGACATATTTTTTTTCTATGGCCTAAGTACTGTGAGCACAATCATAATACATAATACAATAACTATTATTATAAATATTCAGCTGTTAAATAAACTCTTGCATTTATATTAATTGTGAAACTAAAAGTCTAGTAGTTTTCAACTAGTTTAAATATTGGGCCCTGTAAGAAAACAGAATATATGCTAATAAGACAAATACCATCATATTCATTGATAGCTTCATGGGTCTTAACCTCATCAAGTTTGTTGGTAGACACTTCATTGGTATCAGCTATGTTGCTACTATTTATGGCATTATTTATGTCATCATTTATATCATCATATTCTCCAATATCTACAATATAAGCAAACAAAAACATGCTATAAGAAATATTCAGGCAACAATTACTATAATTGGGCTTTAATGTCATATATCCTATCTCATTTCAAAATGTATCAATAGCTCGCTCAAAAAATGACCAGTTATCAATATTAGCAAACCAGTTTCCAAATGATGAAAAAAACACAAAGTCTATAAAGAAAACAGTATTCTCTGCCTAATCGCTGTGAATTAACAGTATGCTAATACATGTATGATGCAGGTGTAAAAAATATTTTTTGCTATTAAAAAAAAAATGTTCCACTTGAAAACCAATTGAGGACAGTACATACTAAATCACCTGCAACTGAGAGCAGTGTGTAATAAATCACAAGCAAGTGAGAACTCTTTAAATATATTAGAATAATTATTTTTTGTGTAAGAACAATTTTCACAAATCTTGTGCAATGTCAGACCACAGTATGATGTAGCCAAAGAAAATAAACATTTAGATTCTCAATGGAATTTTGGATAAGATCCCAGCGGGTCAGGGCACTTTTACTTTTCTTTTATTATTGAAATAAGATGGACTTTATATACATTGAAAATAAAAAAATGATTGGTTTTGTTTATGCATCATGTTCGCTGAAGGGAAAATGTATCTATCAGAGAGGAATCTAACTGAGTGGGGCGGACGGGGATGAGAATCAGACATATTTTTTTTTCTATGGCCTAAGTACTGTGAGCACAATCATAATACATAATACAATAACTATTATTATAAATATTCAGCTGTTAAATAAACTCTTGCATTTATATTAATTGTGAAACTAAAAGTATAGTAGTTTTCGACTAGTTTAAATATTGGGCCCTGTAAGAAAACAGAATATATGCTAATAAGACAAATACCGTCATATTCATTGATAGCTTCATGGGTTTTAACCTCATCAAGTTTGTTGGTAGACACTTCATTGGTATCAGCTATGTTGCTACTATTTATGGCATTATTTATGTCATCATTTATATCATCATATTCTCCAATATCTACAATACAAGCAAACAAAAACATGCTATAAGAAATATTCAGGCAACAATTACTATAATTATTAGGCTATAATGTCATATATCCTATCTCATTTCAAAATGTATCAATAGCTCTCTCAAAAAGTGACCAGTTATCAATAATAGAAAATCAGTTTTCAAAATGATGACCAAAACACAAAGTCTATAAAGAAAACAATATTCTCTGCCTTCTCTGTGAATTAACAGTATGCTAATACATGTATGATGCAGGTGTTAAAAAAAATATTTGCCATTAAAAAAAATATTCCACTTGAAAACCAATTGAGGACAGTAAGTACTAAATCACCTGCAACTGAGAACAGTGTGTAATAAAACACAAGCAAGAGGGAACTCTTTAAATACCTAAGAATAGTTATTTTTTGTGTAAGAACAATTTTCACATATCTTGTGCAAAGTCAGACCACAGTATGATGAAAAAAACTAAGTAAAGCCAAAAAAATAAATATTTAGATTTTAATTGGAATTTTGGATAAGAACCTAGCATTTTGGCACTTTTTTATCTTTTATTATTGAAATAAGAAGGTTTTTATATACACTGAAAATAGAAAAAAACAATTGTTTTTTATGCATCATTTATCATGTTCGCTGAAGGGAAAATGTATCTATTCGTGCGTTTGAAAGTGTGCGTTTGTTATTCCATGAAACGTTTTGCGATCGTCTAAACATTTAAGTACTGTGTCATGCGTCTGTTGAGAAGTAAAAGAATATCTTAGATAGATATATTTTGTAAATTTTGGGTTTCATAAACCTGTTAAAGATGTTCAGTGTCCCTGTCAAAGAAAAGAAATATTATATAAAGAAATATTATTGTGATATTTACATTAAAGTTTTAAAGTTTGTGACCTCGTGGTGAATACCTGAGATTTCTATGTGCTTACTACGCTGAAGATTAGTTTTAATCCTATTTTACATACGCTTATGATTTATATACATTTTAATTGCAACATTTTTGATATTCAATTCAGCAAACAGGTGTTTATATGCGTACCAATATATCCCATAAGTGGTTCGTCAGGCATCATATGTGGTGGTAAATCAGACTTAAAACACCGCCCCCATCCCCTTTACCAATTCATATTATTACGTCATTACGTTTCATCAAAGACTGTCTGAATCTTAGTTAGGGTGATATTTATTTTAGACAGTTCCTTCCCATTTTTCTAAACAGATTTATATTGATATGTAACAGCCTGGCAGGGACTCGAACCCCTGACACTCGGAATACCATTCCGCGGCTCTTCCATCTGAGCTATTTGGCCGCTTACACATTTTATGTGTTTAAATTAGGGATGGCAACGAGTAACCTGTTAACCTAGTACTCGATTATCGGTTAACAAAATTGATATTTGATTACTCGGAAAAAATGTATAATTTTTATTTTATTTGCTATTTAGACATTAAATTTAATATATGTATCCAATTAGTTCAGAAATTCGGAGATGTGCATATACCTTCATAAATATCTGTTAAATGCAATCACAACTTCCTTGCAGTGGTGCGAAAATGATACCATAAATTTAATGAGGCGATCATCAGTTTGACACGCGCACGTCATGTGTCGCTTACGTCATCCGGCCTCTTATGATATTTAGTAACCTTTAATTGTGTAACACAGTGCAGTATGTACCCGAATCTTGTTTTAAGGTAACATTTTTTAAAACAACAAAGGGCCGTATTGCTATTATGATATGTTAATTAAGGTAGTATTTAGACCAGGGTAAACTTTTATTGCCGCCGATTAGTCTATTTTATTGCAAGAAAACAAAGTTTTTTTCACTGTTAAACATGTTTTAAACTTGACATTGCATTAATAAATATTTCTAAAATATAATGTCGTTGATTTAATTTTAATTAATTTGTCTCCTTTGCAGTCCTATCTATAGTTACAAATTCTATGAATGTAAATAGAAAACGAAAGTAGCATGCAGACGGTGTTGATATTGTGTGGTAAACTTTGAAGATAATTGGAAATCGTCCGAGTAACCGAGTACTCGATCGGAAAAATAACCGAGTACTCGAGTATTGATTTTGGTATTCGTTGCCATCCCTAGTTTAAATATTGAATGATAAGTTATAAACCTACTGTATATGCAAATATTTCTTCAAATTTCCAAGTGTGACTTAGCAATGTGAATTAATTTCTAGCTGGGCTATATGTCAGTCACAGGGTGAGAAAAATGTGCAGCCTGACATAGACTCGAACCCGTGACCCTCAGAATACCGTACCGCGACTGTACCAACTGAGCTGTCAGGCCTCTTACACATTGTATGTGCTTAATAGTGAACACCTTTAAAGCGATACAAATACGGTTAAATAGTTTTAAACAAAACAGGTAAATATATTCTAAATTAACACAAATTGAAAAAAAAAACAAAAAAAAACATACACACATTCTTTTGACAAAAATTACAATAACAATATTTTATGAGTTTTATAATTATTATTTTTTACTAAAATGGAATGAAACATTTATTGATAGTTTCATTATTTAAACATGTATAGTGAAAACTTTACTAATACATTGTACTACATGTATTTCTATATTTTTATACATATAAAAATAGCTAGCCTTTTTTTCTAGATAAGAAAATTCTATGGTGGCTAATATGTACCATGTTGTGCCTTTGCTCCCTTAGGCACCAAGCGAAAACTTAAAATACAACTAAGAAGTTTTTTTCTATTTTTGCCCGTCACTCATGGCATTTTGTCGTTTTTCCAGGTCTTCGTAAAAATAACGATATACATTTTTACAACAAAAATTTATATTTTATGGTTTGATACATCCCATACATATTAGTATAGTGTCTAAAGGTTTGGTCCGAAGTGTTCAATGTATGGCCAAAAGTGTCCAAATATCTGGTTCGAAATTGCCAATAATCTGTTCCGAAGTGTCGCAAAATCTAGTTTGATACGTCTGGTAGGAAATATCCATTGTCTGGAATGTCCCATTACCAACTCAGCCATCATTGAATTTAGTCCACAAAATTTAGTCCACAAATTTATTCAAGAGTGCAAGCAAACACCTACTCTATTAGGAGTCTGTAATGGGATTGACTCTGTCTGAGAACTGGATGTTGAAACCAGTGTCCCTCAATAACATTACATGTTACAAATAAGACATAACGAGGGGTCAACGCGAAAGTAGTCTATCTGACATTTTTTCATAAAAGGTCTTTTTTACAGCCATATTGATGTAGTGTAATTACTTGTGATACTTTATAAATATATGTTTTGTAACAAATGATACCTTGATAAGGTATTCCCTTTGTTATTCTGTGTTTCTATTAAATGTGAAATAATCCACAGCATTGCCATTGTCATTTTTATTGTTTGCCTTTTTGGTATGCTGACTTTGGTCAAAATATTAAAACCATCCAGTTTAATTTATTCATCCGTTTACAAATATTTTTATTTTATATTGAATTCACACAGCTGGATTTCTATGAATTCAACCAGATTAATCAATCAAAAGAATACAATGATATAGCAATTTTCCAAATATGTACAATAAAAAACAGATACAATTATTATTTTAGCACTCTTAAAATTGTCAATCCTTCATTCCCCATCCTGTTCGGTGTTTACATGTTAAAAGTGAAATACATCTTAATAATAATATACATATATAGCTCTCTGGATTTTTATTCTGTATAAATTATCTCGGTTAATCGATCCGTAATCATTACTTAACATAATACCCCTTTGAGTCTAACTGAGATACCCAAGATGAGCCCGTGTCGCCCTTTGCTAACTTAAAAGTATATAACCTGCCCATTATATAACCATATAATTCTTTGAAGATTTTTCTCGGCTAGGAATGCTGTAGTTTCAAGTCACTTGTTTTCAAACTTCCCTCAAGTAAGTTATAAACCTCATAACTGATAAAGTTCTTGCTATAATATCACTTACATTTGTACTTAAATATCACCTATGATTTACATAAATTTAAAAGAACAGGTTAATTGTTACCCATTTTGCAAACAAATATCCCTTGCTACCTGTACAATTCAATTGATTGTAATTTTCCTACAATATCAATTTTATGCTTCATAGATATAGGTCAATTCATTAAAAAGAGCATATTATACAAGATCTCTATGAAAAGTAATGTAATTGATAACTCAATCCAAATAAACTGTATTAATGACTTATTTTAATAGTCCTATATCAAATTGACTTTTATAAGAAATTCCAACAAATTTCATTGAAAATTTAAGAAATTATGGCTAGTTTTAAATGATGCCTTATTAATAACTTATACCACACTAAATCATTGAAAATTGGGGTAAGTTTACCTAGTTATAAGCTTCTGGTCAATGAAACAAAGTTAGTAAAGCCACATAATGTTATACTATAAAGTAACTTACTACATCTAATTGACTGAAATAAGAAAACCCCATTGAATTATTTTGACAATGAAGGAAATTAAGTTAAATTTTCTATGGTGCACAACTGTTCAGGCAAATACATTAAATCTTTAAAAAAATGGGATAATTTTACCTTATTTTAACTTAATGAAACGAAGTTAGTAAGGCAACATATAATATTGAGTAACAATTACATCTGTTTGATTAATATGAAAAAAAAACAACACTAAATTTCATTGAAAAATAAAAAGGTATTGCAAATTTCCTATAACAGAGGTGTTCAGATCCACTATCAGCTTGCCATGTCCCAGCACTTATAATACAATAGTTTATTTGGAGTAGAGGTCCTGGGACCATAACTGGCATGGTATATGGAATCACAAAAATTACTGTAAAACTGATTTATTCAATTCTTTATAGTAAAGTCCCAGCTCAGAACTGTTCATTATTGAGGGTCAGAAGATGTGCAAGCGGACTGATAGCTTATTCGGTACCCTGTCAGCTACGGCACAGTATTCCAGGAGTCCCTGGCTCAAGTCCCAGTCAGGCTGCATATTTTTCTCACCCTTTGAAATTTGACTCCCAACAGTAAGCAATAAAACAATGTGAAATTTGCCTTGAAGTTTCATACCATCACCTATTCCAAAGGGGACTGTGATGGACGGTATAAAACTCCAAGTTCTATTTCACATTGTTAACAGTACCCATTCAAAGACGAATTTCAATAAAGCAGGGGAATATGTAATGGTTCCGAACTGTTCACTACTTAGGGAGATGATGCGTTAGCAGCCTAATACAATAAAGTTCACTCGGTTGAGCGACAGAATGGTATTCCGAGGGTCCCTGGTTCAGGTACTGGTAAGGCAGCACCTTTTTTTAAAACTTTTGACAGTAACAGAAAAGGAAGGTATTATAGAAATTTAATGTTGCCTAATAATAATATAGCATATTAATTAAGCAGCACACCTCCAGATTCATGTTAAATTTCATAAAAATTTTGATAATGTATATGACAGTAAGATATTATGATGTGAACAAATAAAGTTATTTACATATTGCAAATGGCACTTACAATCCATGCACTTAAATAACCAAAAAGAGGTCAAAATGTGCAAAAAAGCCCTTACTGCGTTAGTAACGCAGTAGAAATAATTATGGTGATAAAATACTGCAAATTAAATCAGTCTTAAATCGCAAATAACATGTTAACTTCAACAATGATCTTGATTGTTTTTACCTTTCTTAAATTATAAGTACATTTTTCTCAATTTTCATTTTCTTGAAATATTTTGGCTCATCTGGAGGCGTGCTGCTTTAAAACATATTAAATGCATATAATGTCAATAAATTTCAATTTCAACTGCTATGAAATATATTTTCTGATGCGCCACTCTTTTGGTAAATCCATATACTTTACAGTTTACACATGATTCACAAATTATTGGAGTCCCACACTCCTCCCCTCCTGGCACTTATGGAGGTACATGAGGTTGACAGGTTTCTTCATTTTACTTATTTTTTTCTCACAGTTTCGGGCCCAATATAAAAGTTTATTCTTTTTATTATATCCTTATTCATTAAAAAATCATATCAATAATTATTTTCCCAGGGGAATTTCATTGTATTTTATAATAATCACCGAAAAATCTTCTTTTTAATACAATCATGAATATAATTGTTTGCACGAGTGTGTTATATTAAACATTTATAATATTATAACCCTTAATGTATGGTATTTATTTTATATAGCTATCAGATTTAAAAGAAAAGACCTAACGGTTTTAAGGCCGAAACATCCAGGAGGTGTAAAGTCCTGAAACATATAGATTTAGCCCCTGTCTTGAAAATATGTTTACAAAGCAAAGTATTTTTTCAGAAATGTGCATAAAGACGAACCTGTTAAATTACTTTTTAATATTAGAGCATGATAGCTTATAATTTCAAAAATCATTTGACTTGAGGCTGCACGACAAAAAAATAATGTTGTGCCAGGTTGAGTGCATTACAACTCTAACATTAAACCCAGTTAAAATACATGATTGTCTAGCTATCATTTATGGAAGTGGCTAGCCGTACGGGCCCGTACAGCTAGCCAAAAATTCTAGCCGTACGTGGCCCTTCAACGGGCCCGTACGGCTAGCCACTTCCATCATTTATTCAATATCGCTTAACAATCTAGCAATATTGTTAAAAATTTATATGATAAGGATATTTAAACGTTTAGAAACTTTTTTCTATTTTGCGTGCATATATCGTTTAGCGTATATCGTTTAGCGTGCATCTGCGTATTTCATTTCGTAAAGAGTGCCTCTACATTCGTTCGTATAGTGTGTAACGTGCATACATGTTTTTTGTTTGTTTGTTTCATTTTACGCCTTTTTCCAACAGTATTTCAGTCATATAGGCGGGTAGTTTCCTAACCATCGTTCCTGGAGAGTTACACCAGTACTAGACTACCTTCCTCCGCGCTAAACTACCAAAGCATCTCCTGGGGATCGAACCGTGCATACATGTGTTTTTTCAAAGAGCATGTGTTTGCGTGTAAACGGAAACATACACCCTACTGTACTACTGTTAATATACTATATTCATTTACCTTTGGCTTTTAGCTTGGTTGTAAGCAATAAATTTCTTGCCCAAAGAAACCACCAGGCCTGTTTTCATGTGCTTTGAACTGTTGAACACAGGCCAATTTAGTAATCTTGAGGTTGATTTGTGACTTTCTTATCTTCCAAACATAACCAGCATAGTAACCAGAAAGTAAATGTTAAATCTGATTTAGTCAAACTTAATGGCCTTCCAAACACTTGTAAATCGAAAACTCATCAACTTTCAAGAGGCAGAAAAATTATTCGGTGCTCAGACCGCCATTGTTGTTGTTGTTAATCTTCAACGCATATGGATGTAGGCAAACCTCTGTGTAGTCAACAGAGTGTAACAATAATCCTCTATCGAATATCACTCCACCTATGTACAGCTGCACTTAAATTCACAGTTACTCCTGCACAGTAGCTATATATCATATACAACCTATACTCACCGATTCTGTAAAAATATACTTATGTTTACATTTTTTTATTTACCTCCCCTTTTCCGGACAGACTAATTCCCGTACCTTCCCGGTCTTTGATGCATTTATGCAGTTTAATATGATGAATAAGCAGAGTAGAGTGGGAAAGGGGAGGGGGTGTCAGAGTTTGAATATTGAAAAGGCTTAAGGAAAATGGTAATTCATGTACCAAAATTGGAAACCTGTGTACTGTACAAGAAAGATTTGAAATATAATTTCTTAAACCCTACATCAACAGACCATTAAGCTGGGATTTTTCTTCCTTATTCACTCTACTACATATACCCCTTAGAAATATTCCTTATATCATTTTTATGTAGAACTAATAAAATAAACCCCTAATAGAAAATATTCCTTATATATCTAGATCTATTTTATGTAGAACTAACTAACACATACTGGCAGATATCTTCGTTCAAGTTGTGTAAACAATACCTTCAGTAGTTTTCATTCATCAACTCATTTTTAGTGTTTTACACACATTTTAACAAAACATAGCTTCCAATTTTTATTTAATAAAAAGCGGCATCGCGAAAATAAGTGACAAATAAAAATTTACCTATTCCCTGCGGTAACATTCACAATTCTTGTTGTTTTTTATTTCAATTTTATAAGATTTAATATTTTTTTTCTTATTTAAAGATTTTTTAATCAGTCCTTTCAACAGGCATGATAAAACGAAATGGTTTGGGTACGAGTTGATTTCTGTACATGTACTATGATCAATTGAGGCTGTCTAAACTTTAGGACTAAACAGTATAGAAAAACAAATAGTACAACTGTAAAGCCTATTAAGCTGCAATGAATTATTATAAGTAATATAGCATCAAAAATTAGATTCTTTTACCTTTTTCTGCCTCCGCATTCCTGTACTGTACCACGCAGTAAAAATGTCCGATTCCAAATTTCCTTTAAATGACTTCCGGTAAGTAAGCAGATAACCTTTACAAATTTTACCTGTTTATAAATTCATAGTGGATTTTAAATCTTTCTTAAAGTGTCTACATCTACTTATTAACAGCTTAAATAATATTTCCCATTTTTTTGCATTAATTTCAACCAATAGAAATGCTGTATTCCAGTTTTGTCAAATCTGACCGGCAATTGAGGACGCAATAATTCGCCGAGTGGGAAGTTCAAAAATGGCTACTTTTTTAGGTCGACACACAGCCCCGACACACCCATCATATGAGACCTCCAACCGAGGACACAACTTGATTACCATTTTTTTACATGTTTTAGCAAAAAATAAGCATTTTGAGAGTATAAAATATTTTTGTCAATTGAGGATGGGCTCAATTGTCGGTCATGTCCTCACTCGTTGCTGTTATTCCTGACAAATGTCCTCAGTTGCTGGTCCTTACAAGAGCACACACACACACACACACACACACACACACACACACACACACACACACACACACACACACACACACACACACACACACACACACACACAAACACACACACACACACACACACACACACACACACACACACACACACACACACACACACACACACACACACACACACACACACACACACACACAGATGCTGCGGTGGCATAAAAATGCTAAAGCATTCAAGTGTATATACAATTCAATCAATGCCAATATAAGATGAAATGCAGTTTTTATTTCTTGTTTTTATTAAATTGTGTAATAAATGAACCTGGCATTTGATGTCAAAAAATGAAATAATTGTGATAATTTAGGCTCATGAAAGTTTCATTGATTAGGTACTAAATTTTCAATTCTTTAATTAAGATAGTTAATGTCATTTTGCCTGTCACAATATTTCATTTGCCTGTCACAATGGCATACTTACATACATGTATTTGTACATATTTCATTTTGTTTGTCAAATTTGCACTTTTATATATGTGTATATGTCACAATGGCATACTTATATGTTTGTACTTTTTTGTGACAATTGTATACTTAAATACCTGTAACAATGACATATTTGTATATATTTTATTTTGTCTGTCTCAATGGCAAGCTTATTCATTTGTACATATTTTCTTTTATCTGTCAAAATGGCATACTTATAATATTCGTACATATTACTTTTTTGTCTGTCACAATGGTATTCTTACAAATTTGTACATATTCATTTTCGTCTTTAACAATGGCATACTTTTATATAGACCGTCCAAAACTATCGTGATAACAAAATGTCGAGATAAACGTATAAGGTTTGAACAAGCCAGTAACTGATTTTTACAAAGGCATTTGCATACCTTAAGTCAAATAAATTAAAAGTATGATATCTCCATGTCTTGTTTTCTTGAGCCTTATATCCCAAAGTCGATATTTAACAAAGTTAAATTAGCGTATGTTTACCAACGGAAATACTGAAGTCTGTGATAAAAACACATAGTGAGGTTTACACAGTAATACACCACTATAGTGAAAACGTTTTCAACATGGTCGATCCAGATATCCTTATATTGGTTATCAGACCATTCTCGAGATATAACGCTGTTTGATATATTTTTTCGATATTGTAAAACAATATTGCAACGATAATGTTTCTATACTGAACACTTTTTCATTTATATCTAAAGTCACAATGAATTTAATACAGTGTTCGAATATCTGACTAGAAATGTGTCGTAACGCCACGGATGCCCCCCGCATGCAACCAAAATTTCAGATGTTATAATATTTAGTTCCAAATTTGTTTGAACAAATTATTTTTTTCATTTTAAGTTAAAAGCCCTTAAAACTATTCAATATTAACACAAACCATTTTTATACAAAGTTCAAGGCACTGAAACTATTCAGTCTTAACCTTTTGTAAATTGCATATTGCATATTTGTAGCCAAAATAATGGATACATACATTTCCACAAAAGTATAAGTGCTGAAACTGAAAATTCAAACATTCAAGAAAGATAACATTGTCCAAAATCATTGAACCACGACCAAATTCAAACTTGAACTGCTTATTCCTAAGATGTATCTATATGTCAAATATGAGTTGAATGTGTACAACTATTGGGGAGATAATGAACTGAAACTTAAATTTCTGATTTTTTTTTTCAAAGTTCAAGAGGGATAACTCTGTCAGCTTTCTCTTGTTAATGTTAAGTACTTAATTGTTAAAGAAACTTGTTTTGTTACACTTGAATCCTGCAAAACTTCAGATCCTTGATATGAATGGCACTATGCTGACAACAATTGATAGAAAAAAATTTTCAGTCCATCGTATATCACATGTAACAGAAGTTCAATCTATGTATCTGACTCAGTAACAAGATTAAACTGGCAGGGTGATAAGCGCATTTTACATAAGTGTTGATAAAATCATTAGAAATGTATCATTTTGATATTTTAATAAACCATTGCTTGTAAAAGAAGTTAATTGTTTAAGTTCTATTTTGTATACGTAGAATAAACATTTATGTGACGTAAAATAAAATTTTGTTCTAGAACATTTTTATTTTCAGCAATATAGATATATGTTATATCGTATGATACATATCACACTTGCCACCAGCATCCACATAAAGAATTTTCTAAAGCTAAACACTATCAATACAATCATTTATTGTATTGCGAAACTTCTATTATAGACAAATTTACTAAGTCATAAATTGTTTTATCATACAAACATTTTACAATTTAAGAAAAATCATTTTAATCAATAAACTTCTTTACAAAATGCTTAAAAAGTTTATGTGATTTGATTACACGTATATAATAAACTTACGAAATCATATAAGAAGAATAACTTGTGTGATGATTTTACAAGAAAGCTACAATAGGGGTAATAAAGATACAAAAGTTATCAAATGGGAAAGAATTCAAAGATTGAGCAAAGTCGTCTCACGAAGAAAGACTTAAATGTATTGTATCGTGTAGAAATACATATATATTCAAAACTTAGTGATAACCAAGGTAATCATTTGTATCAAACTTTGTACATGAGAAGGTGATGTAACATGTCCTGGAGATCATAGGTTTATGGAAGAGTTTTAAATATTTTATTTTTTGTTCTTTGTGACGTTCTTGTGCGTCAGACTGGTATCATTTACATAACTTATGAAGAGGGCTATCTTTGAATCATTCCTGTGAAGTTTTGTAAAAATATCTACAAAGTGTTTAAGGGGAATTTAAAAAAAAATGTGAAAACAACAAATAAATTGCAACTAGTACTGTGTGAGCTAAAGTCATTAAGATATAAATCAGATAATATTAAAGGTGTTTTACCTGTTTTGATGTCAGTACATGTTTGAAACAATCTATTAACTTGATGTAATTTTCAAGTTATTTATGAGTCAATGTCAAGCCATGATAAAAGATAAAAATTGTGTCAAAGTCACGTCGTATCAGCAAACCCGATTTGCAAAGGCATATTTCGATTCCTTTCAAAAACTAACTACAAACATTGGACATTTTAAAAATAATGAAATAATACAGTTCAATTGGCTATAAACGTGAAATTTTTTGAAGATGTTACGAGAGGTGTTCAATTTATTATGAAACACTGTCAAAACACGTAAGAATATCTTATACCTTACAAAAACTCGTGCAAAGCGATTAACTAATGTAAAGTAGTACATCATGCATATACTATTACCATCTCATTTGAATTGAAAATTCAATTTGGTTGCATTAAAAATGGATGATTTTGTTGAGCATTATTTTAAGACTTTTGAAAAAGAAAAAAAGGTCCTAAAGAAACATTGTGAAACAAAAAAAAATCATATAGGACATACTGTTTCTGCTGATCCTATGCATGGCAATCAACATGGTAAAGGTGATTTTCGAAATAACAGACGAAAAACAGGTTAAGTTTTTTTTTTTTACAAAGCGTCCCACAAAAACTAAGTCTAAAGCCGTAAATAAAATCCTTAATATGATGACGTTGGTGAATACTCACACACAAAGAGAAATGGCAGCTAAGTGTGGGGTGTCTCTAGGCGCTGTCAACAGAGTAATAGCAAAAATTCTATAAGCGAAACCCAGGGCAGTGTCCATAGGCTTAGTGATGCCAAGATTTTGAATCGACGTGCTCTATCATGGCGTCTTTATCTCCGTCACAACTGTGGACAATGAAAAATCCTTGTCACCAAATATGATGCTATGTTTTATATGGGCGGTTTTAACGAGTGAAATAATAGAGAGAATAAGATTATTAAGAAAATTACGGGTGAGTCGTGTTTGCTACGTTCGAACTAATAAGCAGACCTGAACAAACTGAAATTTTTAAAACGAGATGCATTTGCACGTGGGTTTCTGACTTTAACCGCGGTTAGTTACTACGGCAAGACATCACTAATTTTTATAAGTAAAGGGGTAAAAGTCAATGTAAAATATTTCAAAGACACAGTTCTTAAGCCATTTCTCAAACGAAAACAAAAAAAGCTACGCGGATTTTTGTTGGAAAAGATAACGATATGGTATTCCATTAAGACTCGGCCTTTAGTCATACCGATAAAATGGCCATTAACTTTCTCAGCATATGCAAAATGAATTACATAACACATGCAGAATGGATGCCCACATGCAGCTAGTATAGACTTTGGTATCTGTAGTTTACCTAAATGTAAGCTATAGAAACGAAAGGTTTATACTATGTCCGGTCTTAAAAGAGCTCTCAAAGACAAATGGAACAAACTTCAACAGTAATGCATAAACCCAAAGCTGGCCAAAAAAGGTGTTAGATAGTTTATTGTTGCCATAGATGTCAGATTGAGCATCTGTCGCAATAAAACACATATAAGTTATAGTTAGGTAGGTTTTTAAACTGATTCATAATAAATAGAACAAATCTCGGAAATGCCACATAACTGTGCACAGTCTGTTAGGATATACACTTAGATATGATTGACAAGTGTAATCACTCTAAATA